CTGCTCCTGCTTGGAGCTGCCGGAGAGTTAAGAGAGGACAAGCATGCCAAGTATTTTGAACTGTGTGGGCATGTAGTGAGTGCTGGCTATTATCTCATCTGTTACAGAGTTGGGTGGGGCAAAGGAAACAGGCTCAGAGAGGTGCCTGGTTTGCCCGGGGCTGCACAGGACATACAGGCTGTTTCTCACCTGCAGGTTACACAGCGCCCTACCTAACAGTGTTCAGTGAAAACTCCATTGATGTGTTTGATGTACGGAGAGCAGAGTGGGTGCAGACTGTGCCGCTCAAGAAGGTGAGGGTCTACCCCAAACACAGGTGGGATGGGGTAGGTAACGTGGCCTGACCTCTGTGGTTTTTGCCTCAGGTAAGACCCCTGAATCCAGAGGGCTCTTTGTTCCTCTATGGCACCGAGAAGGTCCGCCTGACCTACCTCAGGAACCCATTGGCAGGTGAGGGAGTGTGTGCCTGCCTACGTCTGTGTGCTTTCACCCGTGCACAAGTGTGAGCTCGTGCACCAGCTGCCTGGGACATGTGAGCACCTCCCCCGCTCCCTGGTTTTCCACAGAGAAGGACGAGTTTGACATTCCCGACCTCACTGACAACAGCCGACGCCAGCTGTTCCGCACCAAGAGCAAGCGGCGATTCTTCTTCCGGGTGTCTGAGGAGCTGCGGCAGCAGCAGCGCAGGTGCGCATGTGTGGTGTGGCTGCGGCTGGTGGGCGGGGCTTTCTGCTCTTAGGGGCGGGGCGAGGTTTGCAGCCCTGCTCTTTACACTCCCTCTGCTTGCAGGGAGATGCTGAAGGACCCTTTCGTGCGCTCCAAGTTTATCTCACCACCCACCAACTTCAACCACCTGGTACACGTCGGCCCTACGGACGGGAGGCCTAGTGCCAGGGACGGGGCCAGGGTGAGTCCTCTCCAGAGCCAATCACAAACCTCCCTGTAGTGTTTGATCCAATCACAGGCTTCTGTTGATTGCTTGGCGGTTGAGGCAGGTGACTCCTCCCTCAGATACCGGACCTCAGTACATCCCTGCCAGAAGCTGAGTTCCCCTGGAAGGCCTGCGCCTCCTGGCCCCAGCCCTTCTGCACTGTCCGCTGACACTGTTCTCTTCCAGGAACAGAGGAGCAGAGGTACCCGCAGCTCCGGGCCGCAGCGGCCTCACAGCTTCTCAGAGTCATTGCGGCGCCCAGCGTCCATGGGTAGTGATGGTCTTCCTGGAGAGACAGACCCCAGTAAGGGCAGCCCTACAGCCTCCGCTGCTTGCATGCCTCCTCCAAGTTATCACTCCTTTTGAGCCCTTAGATCTAACCCAGGCATTGTGTCTTTCCGTCTCCCTACCCTTGCCAGTAGTGAAGAGGAAACCTTGGACATCTCTGTCCAGCGAATCAGTGTCCTGCCCCCAGGGGTCCCTGAGCCCTACAGCATCCCTGATACAGGTAAGCCAGTGGGTAGGGCGCCCCCCCCCCCCCCCCCCCCCCCGGCCAAAGTTCAGACAGCTTTTGACTAAGCTCTGCATTGGGACAGGAAGCCAGAGGCCCACCTGAGCACATAAGGCCTACAGAGTCACTTACTTCAGCCCCTGGCGGCACGTAGACCCATCTGCAACTCTTGGCTCTCCAATCCCTAGCCGTGTGCTCCCAATCAGGGAGGACCAACCCCCTTGAGCTTGTCCCACCTGCAGAGTGAGATGTTACTGTGTCACCTGTGGGAGGGGACGATGCACAGTGCCAGATGCATGGGAGCAGTGCCCCGTAACAGGGGCTCTTGAGACCGTGTGTGTAACGTGTGTGAGAGTGCAGGTGTAGACATGCCACACCACGCATGTGGAGGTCAGAGGACAACTTGTTTCTGCCCTGTGTGCTCCAGGCTGGGTAGCCACAAACTTCCAGCTGATACTCCTGTCTCTGTTTCCCATCTCACCATAGGCATGCTGGGATTACAGATGTGTGACTAGATCTGGCTTTTTTACCTCGGTTCTAGAGCTAAAACTCAGGTCGTCGGGGTTGTGTGGCAATCATTTCTATTTGCTGAGCCATTTCCCAAGCCCTAGAATTTTATATATATACATATATACATATATATATATATATATATATATATATATATATATAATTATCTAATATATAATTAAAAAAATTTTTCAGTGCGGTGTGTGTGTGTGTGTGTGCGTGTGTGTGTGTGTGTGTGTGTGTGTGTGTGTGTGTGTCAAACATAGGGTCTTGTACATACCTGCTAGGTAAACACTCTGCCACCGATCTATACTGTTTTTGTGGGAGAGTTTGAGACAGGGTCTCTCTGTTTAGTTCTGGCTGCCCTGGAACTGGCTATGTAGACCAGGCTGGCCTTGCATTCAAAGAGATCCTCCTGTTTCTGCCCCCTGCTTGCTGGAATTAAAGGCACACACTGCCATGCCTAACCTGAGCTACATTCTTAACAAATTCGCAGCCTAAAGATGGGGAAGAAGTCATATGGGAACATCCTGTTTTGTCTGGGGTTAGGGAAAGACCTGAGAGGACCTTGGAGGATTCCCACCACCCTCCAGCCACACCTCTTAACTGCCCCATCCGCCCTCACGCTCCAGCCGTACAAAGCCACTCGGAGCCCCAACCCACCGCTTCTCTCACACATTCAGATTCTCGCCCCCGCTGTTCCCGCTCCTTTAATGCTTTTCCTGCCTTCGGTGCCCAGGCTGCCCACCACTGTCACCTTCAAAGCGTTCTTGGCCACATGGTCAGGTGTCACTGCCACCACCATCCCTCTTGGTTCCTGTGCTGTGGCCAGGCTGCCTGCCCGCCTTCCTTCCTTCTCTCCCCGCTTCTAAAGGGTCTCATGTAGCTCGGGCTAGCATTGCACTCAGGTTCTCCCGTCTCCACCTTCTGGGTGCTGGGGTTACAGGCATGCATCTCTCACCCAGCTGGTGCTGTGCTTCTTCATCTGGGGATCCATAGTGTGCAACATGAACTGCTAAATGCTCTCTAATAAAAAACCTGGTGCCAGATATTGGGATAAATGCTGAAAGATCAGAGAGACAGAGGAACAAGCCACCCCTTACCTCTAGGACTCCTCAGCCTGGAAAGCCTCAACCGGTAGGCCTCTAGCTGAATGAACTTCCTTAGCCGAAAAAGCCTTTAGCTGAAAGAGACTCTTCTGCCGAAAAGCCTTTAGTTCCTGTCTCCTCACGCCTTATATACCTTTCTCCGCCCAGCCATCACTTCCTGGGATTAAAGGTGTGTGCCACCACTGCCTGGCTCTGTTTTCTCACCTAGACTGAATCAATCTCATGTAGTCCAGGGTGGCTTTGAACTCACAGAGATCCAGACAGATCTCTGCCTCCCGAGTGCTAGGATTAAAGGTGTGTGCCACCACTGTCTGGCCTCTGTGTTTAATCTAGTGGCTTGTTCTGTTCTCTGAACTTCAGGCAAAGTTTATTAGGGTATACAATATATCACCACATTGTTGGTTGGGGTTAGTTTTCATTTTTCTGCCTAAAGTAAAGCATGTTTTTGACTGAATGTGGCATGGAGTGAATGAGCAACACACTGAGTTTGTTCCTGGCATTTCTGGATTCTTTGAGGACTCTCCACCACACCTCAAGTGTAGCTTCCTTTAGGGTCCTGTACTGCAAGTGCTGGGTTCTGAGACCTCTGTGAGGCACTGACACCATGAGAAAAGAGTCTTTTATCCCTCTTCCCATCTGACTTCCTGTTCTTCCCTCCAGGTCTCAGAGCGGCCCCGAAGTCTCCCTCCAGACCCCGAGTCAGAGAGCACCCCCTGATGCCCTCTGGCAGTGCCCACCCCAGTCCCAGGACAGAAGGAGTGAGGAAGTGAAGAGCTTGTGGGATGCCATACTCCGGCTGGTCCGGGACATGTTGAAATTCAGACTCAGGGAGAGCCTGGGTGGAGGGCTAGGAGTAAGGCTTGCCTGGCTCCCCAGGACTCAGTCTGACTCCTTGCCCTCACCCTGCCCTTCCCCTGGGCTTCCAACACAGGCCTACAATGGCCTCTGGGAGTGCCATGGCTCTGATGCCCGGGGATGATTGTGCCAAAGCTGTGCTTCGAAGGGCCAAGCCCTGGGAAGCTGGTAGAGTCAGGATGAGGAGTGGGGATGGGTAGATCCTTGGGAGTACGCTGAGTGTCTTGTCTGTGTAGCCTGGCCCCCAGCTGAGACCAAGATGGAGCATGCCAAGGTCTGTGCTCAGGGTTAGGCTGGGAAATGTGGGCTCTGGTTTAGAGGGGAAGGGTAGAAAAGGAGAAGGGATGTTGCAGGTGAGAGAGGCGAGGAAGCAGAAGAGGAAGTGATGCACTCAGGAGGAGAGAAGGACAAAATGAGTGATGAAGAGTGATGAAGAGGAGGGTCCTGGAGAGACAGGCGAGATGAGGAGGGCAAGTGAGCAAGGGGAAAACCAGACCCAGGAGCCTCTCTCTGGGGAGGGGTTTAGGATTGAGAGCAGGGCTATTGCCAGCTAATCCGTCCAGGAAAAAACGGTTCCTAGGCAGGGAGGGGTTGGGAGGGTATTTATAAGGGCTTCTTGGTGGGCGATGGACACCCTGTGGGGGCCACTGGGGATCTCCAGGTACGTTTTTCCTTCTCAGCAAGGAAGGTCCTTTTCTGGAAGCTTCAACCAAGTGTATTAGGGGGACATAGGGGGCATTTTATTATTGACTACAGTCATTATTATTGTTATTATATTGCTATTTTTATTAAACCTTGCCCTGCTACAGTGTGGGGAGTAAAATAAGTATTTATCTCCTTAAATGGCACATTCCCGGGAGGGATGAACCCTAATGCTCTGAGACGCAGCAAGAAACCAATAAAGCCAACTTTGTAAGCTGCTGGCCTCCCCACCTGGGTCTGTCTTGCTGTGTAAACATGGAAGTGGGAGGTAGGAGGAGTGGGGTTCATGGACGATGAAAGGCTGGCCTCTGTGTATGTGCGTGCTCTCGAAAAGACCACAGGACAGCTTTGAATGTTCTTCAGGGGCTGTGAACCTCGGATGGTGTTTTTGTTTGTTTGTTTGTTTTTCAAAAGACAGGGTTTCTTTGTGTAGCCCTGGCTGTCCTGAACTATCTCTATAGACCAAGCTGGCCTCGAACTCACAGAAATCTACCTGCCTCTGCCTCCCAAGTGCTGGGATTAAAGGCTTGTACTACCACCACCTGGCATGTTTTTATTTTTGAGACAAGGTCTTAACTATCTATCTCTGGCAGCTAGCCTGGAACTCACTATGTAGACCAGGGTCACATCAATATGATTGAGATATACCTGTCTCTGACTCCCAAGTGCTAAGATTAAAGATGTGTGCAACCACACCCAGCCACGTTAGGTTTTGAGGTAGGATCTCTCTCTATCCTGGACTTGGTAGCATAGGCTGGCCTGCCATTGTGTCCCAGGAATTTGTGTCCCTGCTCACAATAATCCCTTATAATCCCTTATAATCCCTCTGAAGAGCTGGGATTATAAGGTGTGCCACGATGTCTAGCTTTCTCACCTATGTTCTGGGGAATCAAACTCGGGTCTTCATGCTTGTACAGAAGCATTTTACGAACTGAGCCATCTCCCCATACGCATGGCCTATGTCTGGAAGAATCATGAATGGGGCTGAAGAAATGGTTCACTGGTTAAGAGCACTGGCTGCTCTTCCAGAAGATCTGGGTTCAATTCCCAGCACCCACATGGTGGCTCCCAAACATCTATGACTCCAGTTTCTAGGGATCTGTTACCCTCTTCTGAACTCCAGGTACCAGATACACACATGGCGCACTTACATACATGCAGGCAAAACACTCACACATAAAAATAAACCTTTTAGAGCTGGAGAGATGGCTCAGAGGTTAAGAGCACTGGCTGCTCTTCCAGGGGTCCTGAGTTCAATTCTGAGCAACCACACAGTGAAGTATAAATCTAATTAATCTTTATCAGTGAAAAATTGGGAGTAAAATATTGGGGTAAGAACCTGAAAGATCAGAGAACAGGGAGTACCTGCCAGTTGCTTCCTACCTCTTCCATTCCTCCATCCAAAACGGCCAAGATCCTTTCTCAACCATGCCTTACTACTTACTGGCTCCTCTCTGTCTACAGTCCTCCAAACCTCTATGGTCAGCTAGTGACTAGCTCAGCCCTCTGGCTCCAAGCAAGCTTTTTTTTTTAAAAAAAAAAAAAAGATTTATTTATTTATTTTGTACACAGAAGAGGGTGCCAGATCTTATTACAGAGGGTTGTGAGCCACCATATGAGTGCTGGGAATTGAACTCAGGACCTCTGGAAGAGCAGTCAGTGCCCTTAACCTCTGAGCCATCTCTCCAGTTCTCCAAGCAAGCTTTATTTGTCAGAACATAATCAAATTATCACACATTTCCCCCTTTTTGTCTAAACAAAAAGTGAAGGTTTTAACTAACATAGTAAAACTATATGCAATAAGTACAATAACTATACAATTATATACAGGCAAGAATTACATTAACAATGTCTAGTCCATTTGCATTTGACAAATTCAGAAAAAATACTCCATTATCTAATCCTATCTTGGTGAGTCCAAAGGGTTGTACCTAATTCACTTGCTATCTTAACTTGCATTACAAACCCAAAATTTTTTATGTCTCTCAACCTTATACACTTTATAACTTTTGTGAATTTCTTTTCTGAATTTGGTAACAAGGAAAACTATAACTATCTAGTCTTCAACTCCATCAGAGACCTGAGAAGGATATAATATTACCTGTGTAAACAAGAAGTGCAGAGCAAACAATTTCCAAAACTAAGAAATGACAAACAGCTGACTGGACAGTCACCCAAGGTTCCTCTAACATTGGGGCATCCATCTTCAGCCTGTAGGTCTAGAATATCTGACAGACTTATCTGTAAAACAGGATTTTTGAACGACTGTCCTGCCTTGTCTTGGCAAAATTTAGCATTCGCTTTCTTATGTGTCCTGCTTGTCCAATGTGGACAGCATACTGTCAGCAGTCAAGGCAAGGGCAGTTTCTTGCCCAGCGGCTAACTTTTGCCACAAAGAAAGTAAACTCCCTATGGAGTTTCTTCGATGCCCATCATCTTCACTGAAATAGATTGATGCTGCCAGGAGCAGACATATCTTGTCACCAAAAAAAAAAAGAAAAGAAAAAAGCCGGGTGGTGCTAGTGTACACCTGTGAGGCCAGTCCAGTCTGGTCTACAGAGTGAGTTCCAGGACAGCCAGGGCTGTTACACAGAGGAACCCTGTCTCAAAAAACCAAAAAAAAAAAAAAAAAAAAAAGAAAGAATGAAATTGTCTTGAGCTGTTTGTAGTCCAAATCATCTGATCTTTGGGTGGTGTCTGTCAGGTTAGTGGCATTACCATAGGTCCAGTGGAATCATTGTGGGGCCCCCATCATCCGTTTGGAGACTTCAAAGGTCATTGTTAGACATAATCATGGTTCACTGCAGGAAACATAAACATTTTAAATGTTATATGCAGCAGATCTCCAAGAGGTTAAAGGATTGTAATTTGTTATGTACAAACAGAGGACAAAAACTTAATTCCTAGTTACCTGATAGAGATTCAAAATTGAAATCATGTATAGGAAGCTAGATGAAGCCTTTTTCTGGAATTAGTTAGTACTCTATATGATCATTAATATCATGACAAAGAGTTTAAAATTTTGAGATAATATTTATACCTTAAGAAAAATTTTAAAGAGTCAAAATAAACCAAAGGATTATGAGATTAGTGGTAATAGAACAGTCCCTTATTTTGGTTTTCTTCTGTCCCATACCAGGTGGCTCTTCTGACATGAGACAGAGATTTTTGGATTTTCCTTTAACAAGGATGCTTCCATTTAGAGAAGGAGAGAGCCACACTACAACTCCAAAACCAGCTTTAATTGTTTTTTTTTCGAGTCAGGGTTTCTCTGTGTAGCTTTGTGCCTTTCCTGGATCTCACTCTGTAGACCAGGCTGGCCTCGAACTCACAAAGATCCACCTGCCTCTGCCTCCCGAGTGCTGGGATTAAAGGCGTGCACCACCACCACCACCACCACTGCCGCCGCCGCCACCGCCTGGCTTTTTTTTTTTTTTTTTCAGCTTTAATTTTTAATTGAACTGGGACTACAAAAAGAACATTTGCAATATGTGTCTTTGGAGAACAACAGAAACAAACATTTGGGAAGATTTATGAAATTTTATCCTGTTGGAAATGTGACAGACCAATAGGCCAATTTACTCTTTTTCTTGGAACATTTTCTCTGGATGATTCATTCTTTTTCTTCAGATATCTCATTTGTCCAGTGGTCTTCAGATTCCTTAGCTGGTTGCCTTCATTCTCCTAGAAAGATAAAAACAAAACCCTATCCCAACCCTAACTTTGAGGAGTTTCCCTTTTGACAAGTTATATCTGATCAAAGCATTTATTACTATTCTAAGTTAGTTTAGATTGAATGGTCATGCTGTTTAATGAACTATTGCCTCTTCTAATCAACAGATCTCTCTTGTTCGAACCAATCTTTATCAATTTTGATGGTAGCCATAGCTTTTCTTCTCCTGTGGAAACAAAAGCAAATCTTCTTCCCCAACATAACACATATCGTGGTTTCCATTCTGAGGTCAACACATCTTTAAAGTATACAGGCTGATTTAATTCAGTATTTTTTTCTATTAACCAATGTCTCTCCTCAGGTGTCGTTCCTTTCTCATTAGCATTTAGAAAGTTTAAAGTTAATAAAGCATCATGCAATCTACCTCTGGGGGTCTTTATTACCCCTTTCTGTTTATTAAGCATATCTTTTGGAGTTCGATTAGATCTTTCTATAACTGCTTGCCCTGTAGGATTGCGTGGTACACCTGTAATATGCTTTATGTTGTAATATGCAAAAAAACCTTTCATTTTACTTGAGACATATGCTGGAGCATTGTCTGTCTTAATTTGTACAGGTATTCCCATGATGGCCATAACTTCTAACAAATGTGTGATTACAGAATCAGCCTTTTTAGAACTCAAAGCAGTTGCCCATTGAAATCCTGAATATGTATATCTATGGTACAGTGTACATATTTTATTTTTCCAAACCCTGCAAAATGAAACACATCCATTTGCCAAATTTCATTTCTTTGAGTACCCTTTGGGTTAATTCATGCAGGTAGTGGAGGTTGGTTATACAAAGAACAAGTCAGACATTTCTTTATAATTCCCTTGGCTTATTGCCAAGTGATGGAAAAATCCTTTTTCAAACCCTTGCTATTGACATGCTGTTTCTTATGAAATCCTGAGGCTTCTAGCACATTTCCTACCAATGGTTGATCTATTAGTTGTTAATCTGTGAGATCCAATAGTTGTGCTAGAGGGCCTGGTAGACCCATATGGGATCTGATACATGTTTTATATATAAGGGATGATTTCTATTTTGGATTATTTCTTGTAACTGAATAAATAACAAAGACAATTCTGAATCGTTTGGAATAAATTCAGCAATTTTAATATGTAAAATAACTCTTTATGCATATTTAGAGTCAGTAACTATATTAAGAGGTTCTGGAAAATCTAATGGTAAAAACCTCATGGTAGTAATACCATGAGAATAACATAGAATTTTGACTTTTGAACAGAATCATAAGGACTTTGAGCTACTTAAATTTCCTGACTTATAACCTGCCTTTCCTGATTTGTTTGCATCAGTATAGAATGTAGGGGTCCACAAATTGGTGTTCCCTGTACAATGTGAGGAAGGATCCAATTAGTTCTCTTTATAAACTGAAGTTTCTTGCTTTTGGGATATTTATTGTTAATTTCTCCCAAAATATTACTGCAAGCTCTTTGCCAATGTTCATTTTTTTTTGCCCATAAAGAGGAAATTTCAGCATTAGTAAAAGGTACTACAATTTCTGCTGGGTCTATTCCTGCTAATTGATATAGTCTTAATTTTCCTTCAGAATCAATTCAGAAAACTTTTATACATAGGTCTTTAATTTTTTGCTCTGTTTTTGTGGTTAAAAAAACATCTATTCTAAGATATTCTCTTTGGGCTGGAGAGATGACTCAGAGGTCCTGAGTTCAATTCCCAGCAACCACATGGTACCTCACAACCATCTGTAATGAGATCTGGTGCCCTCTTCTGGCCTGCAGGGATATGAGCAGACCGAACACTGTATACATAATAAATAAATAAATCTTAAACAAAAAGATATTATCTTCTCGCTGCATTAAAATTCCTTTAGGGGAATTTGTAGAAAGTAAAATAACCAGAATACAATCAAACTCTGGATCCAAACGATCCACATGTGCATCCTGTAATTTCTTTTCTATCCAGAGCCAATTCTCTCTCAGCCTCAGCTGATAATTTTCTTGGACTATTTAAGTCCTTATCACCTTGTGAGGTTTGAAATAAATTACTTAGTTCTTGAGTTGTCAATCCAATTGTGGGCCATAGCCAGTTAATATCTCCCAACAATTTTTGAAAATCATTAAGAGTTTGTAATTGATCTCTCCTGATTTGTACTTTCTGTGGTTGAATTTTTTGTAAACCTATCTTATAACTTAGATAATTAATAGAATCGCCTCTGTATTTTTTAGGAGCAAAATTTTCTTTATTTCTTCAAACATTTTCGCTAAGATAGCTACATTTGAATGAGCTAGTAAGATATTGTCCATATAATGGTAAATTATAGATTGAGGAAACTGTTTATGAATCATTTCCAATGGTGGTTGTACAAAATATTGGCACAGGGTGGAACTGTTTAACATCCCTTATGGGAGAACTTTTCACTGATATCTTTTTTTGTTTGGTTGGGGTTTTTTGTTTGTTTGTTTGTTTGTTTGTTTTTGTTTGGTTTTTCAAGACAGGGTTTTTCTGTGTAGCTTTGCACCTTTCCTGGAACTCACTCTGTAGCCTAGGCTGGCCTTGAACTCGCCTGCCTCTGCCTCCCAAGTGCTGGGATTAAAAGCATGCACCACTACCACCTGGCTCCACTGATATCTTTTTTCTCTATCCTGTTCGTGTAAAGGTATAGTGAAGAAATAGTCTTTTAAATCAATCACTATAATAGATCATCCTTTAGGTAATAGAGAAGGCAAGGGAATGCCAGGCTATAAAGAGCCCATTGGCTGAATCACCTTATTAATAGCTCTTAGATCTGTTATCATTCTCCAGTTCCCAGATTTCTTTTTAATAACAAATACAGGAGAATTCCAAGGACTGGTTGATTCTTCAATATGTTGAGCATTTAGCTGCTCCTGTACCAGATGTTCTAAGGCCTGTAATTTTTTTGATGTCAAAGGCCATTGTTCCACCCAGACAGGTTTGTCAGTTAGCCATTTTAAAGGTAGGGCTGTTGGTACCTTTGAAAGATCAGCAGCTGTTGTCCCCTGTTTATGTAAACCTGAATGGTTGGTGACTGTTCTTTATAATACCTTTTAATATTTTTCCCAGAAACATACATTTATTTATGGTTTGTTTCTGAGATTGGATAAATGTTAATCTGGGTATTCCACTGCTATAATAAATCACGTCCCCATAAATTCATTGTTATGTTAGCCACATATGGCTTTAATTTTCCTCTCTGTCCTTCTGGCCCTATACATTTGACCCATCTCACATTTTGTTTTACACGAGATAAAGTTCTAATCCCTAAAGGCTGAACATTTACCTCCTGAAGAGGCCAATTTGGATGCCAAGATTCTAATGCAATTATTTTTACATCTGTCCTTGTGTCTACAAGATCCTCAATTACAATGTCTTTTATTCATATTTTTAACTTTTGTCTTTGATCATTTATAGATGTTTGCCAAAATATTTGCTCTATGGTTTCTGCTGAAATTTTTGTTTTATCTTCTAAAGCTGTTCTATCATCAGAGCAGTGTGGTTTTTTACAATAGGCATTAGGTCCTTTAATTGCTCTAGGAAGGTGTTTCCCCCATGGTGACAGGGAATGACTGAACCAAATTTGACATGGGGCCTGTGAGAGGCTCCCCAAGGCATTTTCAGATGGCAAAGGGTTACCTTGTTTGTCCTTTGCTGATCTGCATTCATTGGTCAAATGTCGGCCTTTGCCACACCTTCTGCATACTCCAGAAGGCTGGGACCTTCTGTTTGGATTATTCCTAGAAAAAACATTGTTTCTAGGAATACCCTGCCTACAATCCCTTTTCAGATGACCTGGTTTACCACAATTAAAACACCTGACATTTTGATTTTTCTTCAAGCCTCTGGAAATCACCTCTCCTATCCAAGCATCATCATGGTCATGAGATTCAATATTGACTGTATCTTGAATCCATTCCTCTATGGGTACTGATCTTGCCTTTAAAGACCTAATTACCCTCTTGCATTGTAAATTATCATTTTCAAAAGGCAAAGGTTCAATTATTATTTGTCTAGTTTCTGAATTTGGTATCATTCTATTTACAGATGAAGTCAATCTTTATAAAAAAGATCAGTGAAGGTTTTGTT